GTTTAAAACAAAAGGAATTACATCTTCACACAATTCACAGTTAACCTGTGGAACTCATTGCCAGGGTATGTTGTGAAGGCCAAAACTATAACAGGGTTCAAAAACGAACTAGATAAGTTCATGGAGGATAGGTACATCAATGGCTATACATCAAGATGGTTAGGGTTGTAACCCCATGCGCTGGGTGTCCCTAGCCTGTGGATGATGGGATGGATCACTCGATGATTGCCTCTTCTGTTCATTTCCTCTTAAGCAACTGGCATTTGCCACTGTCAGAAGACAGGATACTCGGCTAGATGAACCATTGGTCTGACCCAGTCTGGTCATTCTTATGTTCTAACCCAGTGCAAAAGTACCTTTTCTATGGCATCTCACACCTGCATGACAATGGTCCCAAAGCTGATTTCACCACACCAAATTGGTTCACTACAGATCAACTGCATTCAGGAGTGGCCAGCTTCTGGATGGCAGTTGCAATCAGCTTGTTCATGAGTATGGGGCATCGCATGTCAGTATACTGCTTCTACAGCTCCTGGGTTAGTTCAGCACAGATTTCCAAGAGTTCCCTTCTCTATCCTGAAATTCTCTCACTGCAGGTAGTCATCCCAGGTCTGCAGAATGATCTTTTCCCACCAATCCACGCTGGTTTTCCAAGCCCAGAAATGGCACTGCATGCTTCAGGAACTGGTCCTCTACTATCGATTGCTTGCGATCTTCTTCTTCTTCTTCCTCATCCACATCCCAGTTCCACTGCCATTGAAGACCCTCCTGATACCGGAGGAGCTGCTGCCACTGCCACCATATCTGCTCGGTGGTGCAGATGGTGAAGTCCACAGTCAAACTAATCTGGCTTTACATGCTGAAATACAGGCCAGGCAGCCTCTATATATTTGCAGTTGACAGCACAGTGTCATGGAGCACTTGGGTCCATGCTGGCCAACAGCAATTCAAAAATAGCCCTAGCCCAACCATAAAGGAGGTATAGGATGAAGACAGCTGAATCATGGAATTTAAAAAAATGTGAACTAGCCTGGCATCCCATAATGCGCACACACAACAGCAAAGGCCGATGGGATATCCTCTAAGAATGCTATGCCCTCAGTCCACAGCACACCACTGCTTTGTGTACACGACATGCACTTACAGAGGACACACCAGCCCTTGTGCACACTATTACTGAGGCTTCTGTGCGGTGTGTTATCTGATGTACAGCAAAAAGTTGGGCTTTGGGTAGACAAGCACTTAGCAAGGGCTGTTTCAGTGGAATGGAGCAGATCAAGGTAGGGGTTAGAGTAGAGGAAGTCAAGGCACTGTGCAAGAAAAACTGCAGGAGGATCTTAAAAATAAAAAAGAAGAGGGTAATAGGTTGATAGCGATGTCAGGCTGAGTTAGGTCACATTAACAGCCCAAAGGTTAAAGTAATTGACATGCATTTAGAAGAAGCTGGAGACCAGAAACTCGATTTTAATTTGCCTGGATATACACATTAAGGACCCAATCCAAATTATGTTATAGGGCTCAACTAAATTCCTAATAGACAGACAATGGGTTAATGGCTGAGTTAAATCTAAGAGTTTAAATTGTTGCTAAAAGTTACAGTTCTGGTCCCAAATGTATAGATAAATACTCTGTTTTTCATTTGCATGTTGTGAAAGGATAATGAAGGTCCTTAAAATGGATTTGGAAAATAGTTCTTCACAGAGTGGGTTTTAAATCTTAAAATGGTAGAGGACAGTAAATGACAATTAGCAATATCTTTTGGATTTCTAGACAGTCAATGTAGAATGCTGATCACTCGGCAAACAAAGAACTATGAGGGTCAATATTTTTTTCCTGGAAATTTATCCTGTAACTCTAGCTAAAATATGTGAACTTAATTCCATTGATAAAAATGTTTAATAATGTAGTCACATGCTATAGAAAAGTACAGTGTGCAAAATGGAGGGAGAGGGCATGATTTGTTTTGGGACTCTGCTTCTGCCAAAATATTGCTGGAACAGACAGGGCCGGTGTTACCATTTAGGCCAACTAGGCAGTTGCCTAGGGCGCCAAGATTTGGGGGCGCCAAAAAGTAGCACCCCCAATTTTTTTTTTTTAACAGTGGCCGCTGTGCTGAGAGGGAGTCTGAGCTGCCCCCGGTATCCCAGGGGTTCCCCGGGTCAGCGCGCCACTGGCAGCCCAGGGGAACCCCTGGGTCAGAGCTGCCGCATGGAACCCCAAGCCAGGGGGTGGGAAGCTGCCTCAGGGCAAGGGGGGGAGCTGCCGTACGGCTCCCCGGGCCGGGGGGGGGGGGCGGAGGGGGGGGGGGGGGCTGCCGGAGGGGGGGGGGGGGCACAAGGTGGACGTTTCGCCTAGGGCGCGAAACTTCCTTGCACCGGCCCTGGGAACAGAGCCATTAAGGAGCAGAAGCAGCTCTTGCTACTGAGTCAGAGATAAAAACAGATATGACAGCTCTAACTTAAATCCCCCCACATTTATAATTAGTTCTCACCCCCACCTGTAAAGCACTTTCAGAATTGTATGATTGATGTGTAAAAATCTGAGTGCTATCTTATGCTTTCATTGCTACACTTTCAGATTAATGTTATTTAATTAATCTGGTTTGCAATAAATGGTGGTTATAGAATTTCAGGATGCCATAATTAAGCTCAGATAGGATGGGATGGTTCAAGGAAGAACATTTCTCCCCCCTCCCCCCCCCGTTTATTTACCCATATAATATACACATGCACCTGGCATCAAGTTTCAGACTATATTTCATATGATGGATGAATCAAGGTGTTCAAATTCCCTATCTGAGATCACAAGAGCTCTCAGCATAAACCAATGACACTTATTCAGCATCCTAATTTTCAAACTGCTGCTTATGCTTTTCCCACCCTCCAGAAAGTGCAAGCCTTAGTTCAAGAATGACACACAGACTGTTCATTTCAAATAAGAGTATACAAGACTGTGTTCTAGTAATATACTGTAATTTGCTAGTGTAGAGAATCGTCATGAAGGTAGAGTGAAATGCTAATCGTGAAATGAAAGGCTCTGAATTCAGATAGCAACCCCGAGCCAGGCACAGTCAGTTCAGGCTTGTCAGTTTAAATGCTCTGACTTTACAGTACTTTTAAGGAACAATGTGCCTCTATATTTGATTTTCTTACCCCTTTTTTATTTGGTCTCCGGATAGCAAGTCTCACACAAGCACTTGGACAAAGTACCAAGAGGTTACATGCTTTTAGACGTCATCCAATATGTTAACACATGTCTTGGGGTAGACAGAAGTAAAAAAGCCCTTTAAAGGAAGAGTAAAACACTGGATCTTACCATTCTGTAACTTAAAAAACAACAACAACCCAACACCATAAAGCTGGGGAGAATTATTGCTAACTTCTAATTGGCTAGATTGCTAGTCTACACACAGTTACATACCTTTAGAGCAGTTACTTTGCAAAGAGCTGGTCTTGGGTACTGTGCTGAATGTAGTGACCAAAACAGATGTCTGCAAATGTATATGTGTTAATTTATTGCTGCCCACCTTCAACTAAAGGTTTTCATAGCTTGCTATATGTGAAATAAGGCACAGGGAGGATGGTTCTTCACTGTTTAAGAGGTTAAAGATTTCATGGAAATTGAGAGTTGGCTGTTCAATCACCACTCCTGCTTTCTTTTTCAGGGGGCCACTCAATGGGTAAGGGGAAAAAAAAAACAACTCTTAGGCACTACTGTGTCCGTCCTACACAGAGAAGCTCTAGCACCAGCACGTGGCTATCTTTTCAGATTCACTAAAATAAACTGTAAGGGAGAAAAAGAGCCACAATAAATATGTTTCATAGCCTGCACCTGTAAATATTTCATATGACAGCTGTTGACAAATTTATAACTTTTATAAGACACCTTAAAGCTTTGTACACAAATTCTTAACAGGAATAAAGTCAAATGACAATTTTAATAGACTTTAGAACAGAGTGTACGAGTATAAAACACGGGTTTGTATTTCAAAAGTTGCAGGAAGAGAGCCAGTCATTTTAAACAGTCTTCTACAAAATGTATGTCAGTAGATTACATAAAAGACGCTATATACAATATAAAAGCAGAAAACAATCCTCACTGTAAAAATAATTTAAAACAAAATCTTTCAATTTAAAATATCTCCTATAGCACAAACTAATACATTGTGACATGCAAGTGAAAACTAAACATACTGCATTCTTTAATGTAGCCAAATGAAATCTGTCTTAAAATTTGGACCATGAGACAACATGTGAACATTTTTTAGATGAACACAGAAGGCCATTCTTAATACATTTGAAAGTCTCTGAATTACTTAACAGATTTTATGTTTAAAGAACAGCTACTATATATATTCCAAAATGTAATAAATATTCAAGCAAAGTATGAATAATCTATGTCTGTAGAGTTCTTTTGGGTCAGTGTTGCATGGAAGTGGTTTATAGAAAACAAATGCTTCACTTACTACTATACTGTGCAATTTTACAAGATATTTAATTCTAAAAGCATGGAAACAAATCTGCAGTTGAAAAAAAATGGTGACATCCAGTTTTAAGGCAACCTAGCATTTGAAGATACACTGTAGGAGCCAATTTCAGTAGCTGCTTTGCTTTCTAGTACAAAAACACCGAACTAGTAGGTAATAAGGTATCATTCTCCAAACAAGAGACAGAACCTCAAAGAGGCACACTTTCTGGTTGAGTTATGGTTACACTGCATTTTACCAATTACTTTAGAAGTGTAAGCAGCTAATTGCCAGCTTTTTGTGTAATAGAAAGGGGAGAAACTAGTTTAAATGCTAAGCACTCAAATATTTGGGAAAAGATCTTCCCCTACTTACATTCTCCTGGAAGTAAGAGATTTACAAATTCATAATAGCTTGCATTTTAACATCTTGGCAGTTTATCAGAAAGGATTTATGCAAGCAGTACTACACGGATAGACCTTTTATACATTAACTTGAAAAACTTCTGCAGTTAGAGGATCCAATTTGTTTCTTTAATAGAAACAAATATTTTCATAACATTTCTTACTGTCTTGTTATAGTTTTATGAGCCAATATAGAAAATGCTTCATGTCCACAGGAAATATCAGTCATCATTCAAAAACGCTAATTAAGCATGATCCTCTTCAGAGCACTTTATATAAGTCTCAGAAAGGCAAAAACATTTTCAAGTGCTCTCTGTCTTGTTTTATTTTTAACTATCTACTGACACGGTCTCAAATATACAAAGTAACAAAGCAAAAAGTAGCTGCCACAGAAAGTCTTGGAAAATGCCAGTGTTTAATGACAGATTGTAAAAGAACGAAAGATTTAGCAGAAGCATAAAGAGCTTATAAATAAACCAAACTGTTATAAACCACGAGGTGTAAAAATACCATTCTTTGGTCTAGATTAGCTGTTCCCTTTATATTAGTTTAACATTCCAATGGCTTTTTCAAAACTGTTTAAAAATAATATATGTTGAAATTCATTAAGCAAAAATACTGTTTATATATATATATACACCCATACACACAGATGCCTGATCACACAAATGAACTTAATAAAAGTGAACATAGTGACAATTGCTTAAAGATACTCTTAGTACCTTTTTAAAATAAAAAAAATTAGTGTTGAATGCAGTTACAAAATTTTATTGAAAAAAGTTAAAAAAAACTGCATGAAAATCTGTTTTAGTTGTTTATAAACGTTACATCCGTATGGATTCCTTGCTCTAAGTTCAGAAGTAAACATTCATTCCAACATGCCAAAGCTCCTAATGCTGGTGGGAAAGTTCCTGTAACCAGTCAACGATTACTTTACAATTTGTGTGATGGACGATCAATTCCTGCAGCTTCATTTATATAAGCTGGTTCACCAACTGCATCTTGAACAACTCCATCTTCCCCAAATCCAGTCTCCTCTTCTCTCTCTGGAGCATCCTCCTCCTCCATGCCATTATAGAATTCTTCAATCTCACTTTCATCTTCAACATCTAAGCTTGGACTATGACAAGAACCACTATCACTACTACTTCCACAAGAACTAGAAGATAGGACATCGTCTTCAGAGTCTGAGTATACCTCAGCCCCATGGAAAATGTAGCGATTTGGTGGTAAAAATAAGTATTGAGTACCTGGAAATACATTTAATCAATGAAGAGTAATCTGCTTAATAGTTAAGTAAAAATAAACTATGCTGCAGTGCAAACTTTCTAACCACAAAACCATTTCCAAATGTGCAGTATTATGCAGAAATCTAACAAGAACAAGTTATAAGACCATTATAGTCCAGTATCCTGCATCTAGCAGTGACAAATACCAGATACTTCAGAGGAAAACAAGGCATTCCTTTCCTCCGTCTTCCCATAATATATACTTGTTAAATACAAATTATGCGTTACTGTAGAAGAAAGGGATAACGCTTTCCTAATTCCCACTTGTGATCAATTTCAGCCCTAAAGCATGAGGCTGAGTTACTCAGAACAGTATTGGTTTTCAAGGCTTTCAATATTAATGATCACCCAGTTTTTTTAAAAAGAACCATCTCACACACTTGCAGTAACAAATTCTACAGATAACGAAAAAAATGCTCGCTCTCTCTATAATGTTGCGTTCTAAACTTACTACCCTTTCATTTCAATGCCTCTGTTCTTGTAGTCTATTCCTTTTAGGGCACCAATGCATTTTATTCACTTTTATTGAAGCAGCACCATATGCATTCTTTACAAATTATTCTTGACTATCCCCTAGATCTCTTCTCTCCATTCAGAGAAGATAGGCATATTTAGGAAATTTCTTAAATGTCTACTTTTTTCTGTTTCAGACATCTTGTTTGCCAGCTTTCTATCTAATTTGTTTTAATCCAACTGAAGTTTCATATTCCTGTAGAGAGTGTTAATCTCATCAGTTCTCTTGCTTTGGTATACTGACCACCACTTCCATATTGACTCACTGGAGTACCTTTTCTCCACTCTGAGAAGCAAGGATTAGATTCTGAACTCTTTAAAATAAGGAGTGTTGGTTTTAATGAGGTAAATCATGTATGCATACTATACTGCATAGTTTAAAAACAAAAGAAAAAAGTTCATTAACACACGAATGGCGGTGTGTTTATAGCCCAGCTTTTTTCATTACTTTCTTACACAAGCAGTTATCTCCCAGATCTATAGATGTTTTCCTAGACTCTTATGCATTATATTAACTGTTACAATAGCACAAAATCCAGACTGGGTCCCCATTATACTGGGTGATGTACAAAGAGAGATAAAGACAGTCTTTGCTGTGGAGAATTGACAACCTAAAAGCTTGTCAATGCCAATTCATTTTTTAACAGTGAAATGGTAACTTCTATATATTTTATGTCACCAGAACATTCAACGGGCTATGCAACAGAATTACCATAGAGGTTTGCAGGAACTCCAAAGTTTCTTCAAACTATTACGACTGAAAATTAGTAGGATGAAGTGCTGGTATTAATATCTCACAGCATCACTATTACTGTGTGTAATTACAGTGACAGTTTGAGAAAATTAAATGTCACTTACGAGATTTGCTTCCCACTCAATATCATGCTTTTGTCACCCAAAATATTGCAATATAGCCATTATGCTGAAATGTAAATAAAACTTCTGTTCGATGTTTTTATAATTTAGAGTGTGAAAGGATTAACAAATTAATGCTTCACCAAAAGTAACTTTGGCAGAGCAATTAAAAACTTTGGTTTTTGATAATCTCCAACTCCCTGAATCTTACTTTTTCCCCATAACACGCTTTAATAACTTAGTTGTTTATTTCATGCAGGTAAGAGAAGAAAGGATTCTTCAGTTTTTCTTCAGATTCTTTCCATGTCTCTAGTCAAATTGTGCGTTTTTCATTGTCACTGCACATAGACTTATTCCTGCTTGCTTCTCTAAAATAGACTTTACTTTATATATTGCTGAAGTGTCTCCTGAAACAATGTTCTCTACCGCCTCAAACAAATTAACATTTTATTGCTTTAAAATTCAAGATTTCATATCCTACATATGAAAATCAAGATGGTTACAGAATGTGAGCTTATACTTACCATCAAGCCGCTTGCTAATTTGTTCTTTTGCAAATCTGTTTGCCAAACATTTTCTCAATGTTTCAACTGATGAAGTTATTTCATTTTTCTCTTTATTTTCCTCCTTGTTAGATCGATTATCCTTCAGATGTTCTGAGTTCATTAGCTGGCCAGTAATACTTTCAGAGTTTTCTGAGCATGCTTGTACTTCTTGCAATTTATCCTCCATGCAATTCCCTTTAGATTCTGAGGGAGGATCAGCATTTTCTGCCTTACCTTCAGTTGGATGCTCTGAAAGTACCACTAAAGGATCTGGTGGTGTCATTCTGTTCGGTGAACTAGAGTCTTCAGAAATTTTTAAAGGGGTAGGTGGTAACTCAGCTGAATGCATTTCAAATTCCTTGTGCATTCGTGAGGGCTTTTCTGTTATTTCTGAAAGTTTTACAGAGTTATAGCAAAGTTTTGTATATTCACCACCTAGCCTTTGACATAATTCATTAATAATGACATCACAGTCTCCAAGAAGCTCCACATCAAAGTGTAGATGAGGCAAAGGTTCCCTATTAATTAAGATCTGAGGCACTTCATGGGGGATGGAACCTACACACAGAAAAGATCAGTCACCACAAAACTTTAAAATACTTATTTTTCTAGTAAAGGTTAAATTATTTAACAGCAGTTAGAATGCACTAACATTACTGATAAAACAAAAGTTTGTTAGTTGGAGTTCTCCAAGTTCTCTACATATACCCACTTATGAGAGACTAAAACAGAGAAGTTTGAGAAGTAAACAATTAACTTAAAGTCTAGTTAATTAAAAAATAGTAATTTCAGATGCTATACCTGCCGTTAGTCTACCAACAACTTTGTGGCTTTATAGTCATTGTGATATTGCACTCTATATGAGTTTATGAAAATATGCTAATGAGTGACTATAATGTAAGTGGAATATGCTTCATGCAAAAGGTCTCTTGTAAGGTATCATTACAAAGCTTATAATCTCTAAGGTGCCAAAAATACTCCTGTTCTTCATCCTATTTGTATGTATGTATCATTCTTGTATCAAACTAGAAATATGAAATATAACTCTGAGGTCCTATTGTAATTATGCAAAGTGTGGGCCATTAATGGTGGTTTGGAATTTTGATGGCTCCCATTAATCAGGACAATTGACTGTAAATGGCTCTGTTTACTTGTAAGTCTTCCTGTATACCTGTGTGTTGGCAAGTGGGTAATGAAGTCTTATAGTGACGTGATCATGTCATCTGAACTGGAATCCATCTTTAACCTGGTGCTTTTCCATTTAGAAGGAGGGGTGGGAACCCAGAGTGGGACAAAGGATTCCCACCTTGTGCAAAAGATATATAAGGGGGTGGAACAGAACAAAGGGGGCTGCAGTCATGAGAAATCCCCTAGCTACCACCTGAGCTGGAACAAGGACTGTACCAGGGGAAAGGATTGTGCCCAGACTAGGAAAGCATCCAGTCTGTGATAGAAGCTTATTGAAACATCTCTGAGAGTGAGATTTTATCTGTATTCAGTTTTCTTACTGTATTAGGCTTAGACTTGCGTGTTTTGTTTAATTTTGCTTGGCAATTCACTTTGTTCTGTCCGTTATTACTTGGAACCACTTAAATCCTACTTTTTTGTATTTTATAAAATCACCTTTTACTTATTAATTAACCCAGAGTATGTATGGGGGGGGGAGGAGGGGGCGCAAACAGCTGTGCATTTCTCTCTATCAGTGTTATAGAGGGTGAACAATTTATGAGTTTATCCTGTATAAGCTTTATACAGGGTAAAACGGATTTATTTGGGGTTTGGACCCCATTGGAAGCTGGGTACCTGAGTGTTGGAGACAGGAACACTTCTTAAGCTATTTTCAGTTAAGCCTGCAGCTTTCAGGGGACGTGGTTCAAACCTGGGTCTGTGTTTGTAGCAGGCAAGAGTGTCTGGCTCAAACCAGGCAAGGCACTGAAGTCCCAAGCTGCCAGGGAAAACAGGCTTAGAGGTAGTTTCAGCACATCAGGTGGCAGTTCCCAAGGGGGTTTCTGTGATCCAACCCGTCAGTCATTTCCTTTTATTTTTTAAACAAGTGTTCCTCTACTCTGTTACTATGTAAAAAACCTATGCAAACAGAAGAAACTGATTACAGTGAAACAAGTTACTGTCAAATGATCAAAGTAAACAAATAGAAAAGAGACTTCTCTAATCTCTTGGAAAAGTTACAGTAATTTTATGAATTACTTGAAACAATGCAAAAATTTTCAGATAGTGTGACTTTCAGTTAATGATATCCCTTTAACTAGAGCGAAATAAATGTTCTGAGACTGCAAACCACATTGCATGCAAAGGATTGCTTAACCTGCCTGCCTTTTCATATTTGGAACAAAAGACCCATCTTTGGTTCTTCAGATAGCTGACTAAAGACATCCAACTTTATCCAAGGATGAAGTAAGGAGAGAAATGATCTGTGAAGCAAAGCTTTTCTCTACGGTCATAATTTCATGCTCCCCATTCAGCCTAAATGACAACTTACCTATGGAGGAAAGAAGGCCCACAGATAAAGCAAAAACACACACTATAACAATGAACAACTGACCAGCAACTGTTCTGAACTAACATTTTTTAACTTGATAAGGCGTTCGTACAAATTTGTGAAGAGATACTAATGAACAGACGCTATTGGTAAACCCAGTGTACACCAGGCAAATAAACCATTACTGACAATGATTTTCAGTACTTTCTGAAACAGTGAGGGGCTAGTTTTGTCCAGTCTACACCAGCACATAAAACAGTTTTCCACACCAGTTCTGGGGACTCAAGGATACTAAAAAACTTCTAAACAACCACCATACACATTACCTAGTTTTGCACAGTGCTTAAAAACAAAGGCTTGAAAATAAAGATTACATTTAAAGAGGACCTTGAAAAATATATTTTGTCTTTTTTTGCCCCCCAAGCCAGCACTCCCTATTAAACCTTTGAGAGATTTAAAAAAAAATAAAAAAAATTATGATCCAAGTGCAAGGGGAGAGGAAACATTTGTGAGAAGCAAAGATGGAGAACTAAAACATACAATGAAGTCAGACAAACCAACCATTAAGTATTTTTGTGAAGAAATTTAATATTTTAGATTATTTTTGTTGCTTTGATACATTCCTTGTCACTTGTTTAAAAAAATAAATATATTTAGATTTGTTTTGTCCCTCTTATCAGATTTGTATAGGCAACTTTTCCTAATTATATACTTGAATTAGAAAAAAGAAGATAATCAGCCCAGCTTCCACACTGAACCAAAACCAAGGAAGATCTCAAACATTTGTTGGGATTGTGTGGAACAGAAGCTAGATGATGTGCATTACCTTACATTTTTAAATTTGTCTTCACCAGAAACTTTTGCATTAGAATGCTTCCTCTGTTATTCCCCAAAATTATTAGCAATAGCCACTTACTTGGAATCAATGCTACTGGTCTTACTTTCAGTGAAGACCCAATAACAATAAGGAGATCAACTTCATCTTTGTCATACTTCATGGCCCTATGGAACTGCTCAGGTAAGTTTTCTCCAAAGAACACTATCTCTGGCTTCATGATGGCAAGTGGTTCATCAGGTGGACACCTGGGACATCTTGGAACAACCTGCATTATAAAATATTTTATTAATGATCATGGATCCAACTTTTTAAAGAGAAAATCTCAAGTCTGAACAATTCATCATTTATTGTCAAAATGTATACTGTGAAAGGTATTAAAAGTAGCTTCAGTAATTTATGCAGTCTCCTCAGTCTCTTTTTCTGCTCTATGCAGACCTCTTGTGCATCCCAAACTCACATGCTACTGTGTGTGCAGAGCAGCAGAGTAACAGGGTATTACGGCTCACTTTGTGCTTTCAGGTAATTTTAAATCAAAGGAAGTACCCAAGAAAATATAACCCACAATCTTTATTTGGCAACTTCTTTACTGAAGTCCAGAACTTAATTTCACACTTCTCTAACATGGGTTTAGTCTACGACTACCCAGCACTAGCTAAATATATTACCATCAAGCAGAATTTATACTAATATTGTTCTGACTAAACAAGAGTTATTAACTGCCAATTCCTGGAAGATGTCCCAGTATAAAACAGCCTTCCCAACCAAAGTGTATACTGTAATAGTTTTACATTTATAGAACCTTTCATCCTGAAGATTTCACAAATTACATGCATATAGTACCACTGAACTCTAGCAGATAGCCAATTAACCACATGCTGCATAATAGGACAGGAAAGATAAATTTTGCATTTTGACACCAGGGTAGACTCCCATCATAAATTTTCCACTCCTGCACAGGACAGAAAAATGCTGCTCACTGGAAACTAATTCTTTGAGAGTGTTGTCTCTATATCTATCTACACTTGTGTAATGCCCACTCCCCTGCAGCCACTGAGCTTTGGGAGCCTTCTGGAACGCAGTACCTGTTAAGGATGCACAAGTATCCTCTCTCTCAGCTCTGAATGGAGTTTATAGAAGGCTGATGCAGCCCTAACTGCCCCAGTTCTTTCTGCTAAACTACAGAGTGCTAAGACTTGAATTTAGGAAAAAAGAGGGGATGGAGGGTCAGGAATGTGACTATACAGAGGCAACACTCTCAAAAAACTACTTACTGCTGAATAATCTTTCTTTGAGGTGGTTGCTGCAGGTTCCCATTTGTAGTCTTGCACGCAGTACAACTCCTAGGAAGGAGGGCTGAGGTGTTCTCATTAAACAAAGACTGCAGAACTGCCCTCCCATAGCAAGCATTAGATCTCAATGGATCAAGAGACTAGTGCTGCATAAAGGTGTGAAGAGATCTCCAGGCAGCATCTGCAGACTTTTAAGCCAAAAACTTTCTGAGAGCCAATCTGAAAGCTATATGGAAAAAAGACATCTTTTAAGTAGAGAACCATGAACTAGTACTGTGGGTGAGAGGCAGAAATAATGGAAGCCAGTGTCAGTATGTGGAACTTGAATTTTCTGATTAAGCTGGTTGGTTTCTGGAGGTCCACAATAGGACAAAAGCCATCTCTGAAAAACCAAAAATAGATTTTTCCCCCTTTGTATTGAGGCACTTTCTCCGCAATTCCAGTCTTTACACAAGGAATCCACTCCTGCTCTGAACAGATTCTCACAAGAGGGATCCCATAGAAGCGAGATGGCATGAGGGCTGGAAGATGGTATGGACTGAAGTTGGATCACACATCCACACTAAATGATCTCTAGTATCCCAAGCCAAAGGGAAATTAACCAAGTGCTCCCCAAAGGGGACAGAGGAGGAGGATGAAGTTGAAACTTGCTCTGGGCTCTCACAGAAAACTTCAGATCTGATGTACTGCTGATAAAGATGATGACAGAGCATTTAGCTGTTCTCTGCCTCTTCTGTTGATGCCAATAACGACTCTCTGGAACTGCGGTTGGAAACTTAAGGATGTGTAAAGTAAAGTCTTCAGTATAAGAAGGAAAACGACATGGAGGCATTCCCTCTTTTGATCTACATTAAGGAGTCCCAGAGACCAAGTAATAGTATCCTTCATTTTCTCGAGATCTCATTCATCTTAAGGCTAAAAAACCCACTCACATGGGCCTGAATCTCAGACAAAAGGCTCAATGACTTGTGACAAAAATATTCTCTCAGTGAAACAGCTGATGCCACTATCCAGTCCAAAGTGTCTGAAGCATTATAAGTAGCCATGCTTCAGTGTTATACATCTTCCAGTTACGAACTTCTCTGCTAATTCTCAAGAAGATGATTATTAAGGGGGAGCATCTGTTTCAAAAGCTGACATTTGATACTGAGAAGTTAAAACTAGAATAGATAGCTGGTCACTCAAATTCCCAGGGTACCTCAGAGTAAACTTCTCCATATACCCATCCCCCAAAATTATTCCTGCTGGCATCCTTGCTGTTGGGAAGGAAGGTCCAACCTGACTTGGAGCTTTTCACTGGCCCTTGACATTACCAATGGACCAGGGATAAGATGAGTAAAGAAAAATTCCTTTTTTTTAAGAATGTACAAAAATTGGTGCATCTTTTTCTGGACTTATTTCTAATTCTAGAACCTCTGCCACATGTCCTAGTAACTCTTGAAACGGCCTGAAGTAATTAGAAGTAAAACAGAAACGATGTCCTCAGGAGAAGTTGAAGAGAAAACAATATCTTCTTGCTCAAGAGTTCATTCCAGGTCTATAGCCCCTTCTTCCTCTTATCCAGATAAGGTGGTCATGGATACTGGCCAGCAAAGAACACAATGCCACTGGTGATGTTAAAGGTGGACAACACCACTCTATCTGTTTTAGGAGAGGCAGAGAAGCAGGGGCAGAAGAATGAAGTAAAGCAGCAGAATTAAGAGGTCTTTTACAATCCTATCATGGGTTAAAAGGAGGTCTCTGCTGATAAGAAGCTGTCTGGAATTTTCATTTCCTTTCCGAACATCCCCCTTTGATTTAGAATGAAATCTGGCTGGAAAAGGAGCAAGGCTAAAAAAAGGCAAAATTTCTGTGAAGAATTAAAGAACCCAGGAAACTGGCAACTTCCAAGTTTGTATCTAGCAGGAAGCTGGAACGAGGGGAAACAGTCTTCTATAAGGACTTAGTACTGAAAGCTATTTATCTGAAGGAATGGGGAGGGAAATCCTTGTTAGAGGCAAAGGGGCTGCTGAAGTAGAGAACCACCTGGGGTTTCTGAGCTAGGTGAGAGTCTCCTCTATGGAGGGAGCCATTAACTGGCCCCTAAAACAAAACACTTTGGGGAGGCAGTGGAGAATTAAGATACAGAAGCAGACAGGATTGGAGACTGAAGATATTGTTCCTCCCTGGGAAGAAGCCTGCTATTGGAGCAGTTTAAAGAATGGGAGGGGGGTAAAACCAAATTTTGAGCATTTTCTTTTCCTCTGATTGACCTATTCCTTGCTCTCGGAAGCCATGTTCAGCAGTGGACACATTAAACTGCAATAGAAAACACACACACACACACACCCCCCCCCAACTGTCTGGGATTATTTAAAAAGTCAGGTCCTGCAACAGAAAGATAGTCCTAATTGGTTCCAAATAGTCTTACTGCACTGCTGCAAATAGAAGGAACTGCAAGTGCATGGAGGTGACCCAGAAAGAGAAGCCCTTTTGATCTTACTGCTAGGCACTGCACTTCTAAACATGCGTAAAATTCCCAAGCAAAGAAAATGCCTGTCTTCCCTAAAGTTTTCTAGGGCCTGGTCTACACTACGACTTTAATTCGGATTTAGCTGCGTTAATCCGAATTAATCCTTAACCCGTCCACACAACGGAGCCAGTTACTTCGAATTAAAGGGCACTTAAAATCGATTTCTGTACTTCACCCCGACGAGCGGAGTAGCACCAAAATCGATTTTGTAAATTCGAATTAGGGGTAGCGTGGCCGCACACCACCGAATTACTGTGGTTAAAATTAATGGGGTAGTGTGGCCGCACACCACCGAATTAATGTGGTTAAAAACCGAATTAATGTGCTTAGTGTGGCCGCGCACAATCGAATTTATACAATCTGTTTCCCAAATTCGAATTATCTAAATTCGAATTAATCTCGTAGTGTAGACGTACCCTAGGACACTATCTACCAGAACTACCGCTAGAATACAAGGAGATGTTGCAGGGAGGGGAAGTGGTGGCAATAGCTAAAATAATAATAATCCTGACTGGATAGAATAGGGAGAGCCCAAAGAGAAGTCTCTGTTTTTCTGGTACAAAGGCAGAAGACAAGGCTCTGCATATCAGTGCAGTGATCCAAGTGTGTCAGCAGAGGGAGAGCTGGCAACTAACAAACAAAGCCATGAGAAGCCTCAGTGATGTCAGATTCGAAGCTGAAAACCCATAGGTTCAGAGCTGAGGGAGCAACAGGTACCCAGGCAGGAGAAATGGTGCTTATATATAACATTCCTAATAGCAATACAAATCAGATTTTATTCATGGGCATTATTGCACACTTCAAATATTACAAATAACCCTCAGTGCTGCAGTCACCTCAAAAAGGTCTGTCACATCTCAACTATAGTTCTATTTTTCAATTTAAACTTTACAGTAAAACCTCCTATTTTTCAAATAACCTTCTTCCTCTTATACCATTATATTTGAGACTGAGTTTGAATGTTTATGGCCCTTCGTCTTAGTTTCTCATTTAAAAGAGCAACTGTGGATATGCTAAGCATTTGTGGCAGAACCATCTGAGAAGTGGCCTTTAATTAGACAGGCAGAGACCCACCTCCTAGACTAGGACTCCACTTGTGTAAACAAGTTCTTTTCCCCTCCCAGATCCTCCTGGCCAGCTAAGCACCTTCTTAGAAACTCCTCTGCTCCTTGAAGGGGAGGGGATAAAGAGTGGGGCTGGGGGTAAGGTCTGTCCAATATAGTATTGCTCTACATTAGGAAGAGTAGTAGGAACTACTTGGCCTAAATCTGGAGCATGTCACACAAAACAGAGGGCTAGAGAGAGATGACAATAGCTTCAAACAAGCCTTTGAAAATGTGTGTCAAAGGGCCAATTTGATTCCCCATCTTTTTGACAAAGGACTCAGGAACAGCTTAATAATTTTATCAACTTTCCTTACATATGTCATGTGCTGTTTATCAAATTTTACCCAGACTGAACAAAACTTCCTTGGAACATTTAAAGGAACAGGGCACCAGCTCAGCAAGCAGGTGCTTGGAGCGGCCAACGGAGAGGGGTGGCACGCCCGGCTCTTCGGCGGCAATTTGGCAGTGGGTCCCTCTCTCCCTCTCGGAGGGAAGGACCTGCCACTGAAGAACGACGCAGCGGTGGCAGAGCAGCCGCCGAAGTGCCACCAATCATGGCCTTTTTTTTTTTTTTTTTTTGCCACTTGGGGTGGCAAAAATGCTGGAGCCGGCCCTGTAAAGGAACACTCAGGTTAAAAATATTTGAAGAGTTCCTTACCTGAATTACTATAATCTTACATTAATAAAACCAAGACAGTGTTAAATCCACTTTATTTTTTAAACATTTGTATTACATTCAACTAATTATGCAGTGAAACTAGATAATGAAATTAATTAGAAATTTATCTGGTTCCCATATAATAGTATTTGGATTGCAAGTACGGCAGGAAAATCTTGAAATATAAATGTAAGCGTTTTGAATTTAATGAAACATTTCAGGTGCACATTTAATACATATATTTAAAAAGCAGAAGCTGACAATTGTCCTTGAAGTAATTGGGGATGTTTCTGTAATAACTTCTTGAAAGACTATGACCAGCTAAGTATTTTTTTTTTTACCTGATTAAAAATGTCTCCTCGAACAGCTTCACAATCAACTTTGTATTTACAGATGAGGCAGGAAGCTGTTGCAAAGGAACCTGAAAAAAAATATGGGTGAAGGTGATGTGTGTTAAACTATGCAATAGTGACAATTTGACAAGAATATTATATGGTCTCAAATGATGACTTGCATGTGGAACAATGCTAAAAAGTCCTAACAAAGTTCACTAATGTCACACACACAAAAGTCAGTTAACTGAACTGAAAGATGGAAACACTTATTTGGTAATATACTTTCTGACACAAACCCCCAATTTGAGGCATTTGGGCTATGCCTCTCTTCCTATAAAGACCAAGAGCAGTTCAGGCTTGGTCACGTTATGCCCCTTCCACTCTTGTGTCAGGTGAGTATTTCCAAAGTGTTAGGGGAAAAAACTAATTTTTTTAGTAGATTAGAATATAACTTAATACACCTCTACCCCGATATAATGCGACCCGATATAACACACATTCGGATAGAACGCGGTAAAACAGTGCTCGGGGGGCGGGGCTGCGCACTCCAGCAGATCAAAGCAAGTTCGATATAACGTGGTTTCACCTATAACGCGGTAAGATTTTTTGGCTCCCGAGAACAGCGTTATATCGAGGTAGAGGTGTACTACTACTTTATTTAAACAGAGCTAACTATATACAGGAAACCTGAAGATGCCGTCATATAGATAGCTGGAGAATTTCTTGTAGTTCAGACTAAGGTATGTGCACAAGGATTAGTCACTGAAAAATAATCAGGAAACTAGTTTTCCATTTTGAATCTTTTTTCTAGACCGAAATACTTGGGATGCAGCAAGCAGTCAGTAAGGAGAATAAAGTGTTCATTTTCCCCGCAAAGTAGTAGTTATAAATAGGGCCCTACCAAATTCATGGCCTTGAAAAAACACGTCACGGACCGTGAAATCTGGTCTTTTGTATACTTTTACTCTATACTATACAGATTTCACGGGGGAAACCAACATTTCTCAAAGTGGCGATCCCAACCCAAAAGGAGGCTGTAGGGGGGTTGCAAGGTTACTGTAGGGGAGCTGTGGTATTGCCACCCTTACTTGTGGCCCAGATCCTCAGCTGGTGTAAACTGACGTGGCCCCATTGTCTTTGCTGGAGCTACATCAATTTACACCAGTTGAAGATACAAGCCAATGTTCAACTTCATTGAAAAATTCTACTACAGTATATTTCAACTAGACTTTATGCATTTAGCACATGCCATGCTTTTTCTTATAGCTGTTGACACTTTGAGAAGAATAACTCTTCCTTTTGCAACTCACAGAAATCAATTTTGATTGAGTCTTAATGCATTCAAAAGATTTCTGAGACTCTTCTGTCATCCTAATTGTGGCCTGCAAGCTTGTCTTTATGAAGAGGAAATACAGGGAATTGGATTCCATAGGTTCAAATGTATGGGTTGCGAGAGCTTATAATACAGAAGGGCAGATATACCTAACTGCTGATTTGGGTAGACATGCTGGTCTAGGAACCTAGATAATCTACCAGACTTTTGTGAACCCATGTTTACAACACTGGGTTGCAAAATGTTTTAGGACTAACTCTAGACCTTCTTGTAAGAAGTAAAATGCTTAGTTTTGTGATGATGTTTTTACCTTGACACTAGTATGAAACCTTTCTCCAAACTCTTCCATAGGTCAAAGGGGTGGAAAGCTTGAATGAGTGTAGGAGAGCTTATTATTTTGAACAAGTATCCCATCTTGTTTTGAATTTAGCCAGGCTGTCAGGCTCCAGTAGTGGTTTCTGGGACAGAAGATTCTGTTTTCTTGGAAGATGAAGCGGCAGTGTGCCACCTATATTATGTCCAACTACCACAGTCTTCTTGGCCAGTTGGAGGTGGACAGTAATTATGACTGCTGCCTCCATTTTCTGAATCACTCTTCATAGCGCAAGGAGCATGCAGTGGGAGGGGAAAAGGCATATAGTGATCTTTAGTCTGCTTCCCTGTACTAGTTCCCTTCCCTTTTTGTTGACTGGGTGCAATAAGATCCACTTCAATGTGACCTAGTTCCCTGGATATCAGCTGAAATATTTCCTTTGAAGGAAAGATGGTCATGTGTCCTCTTTTCTTATATAATGTTTTGGTCTTAGCCTTCTTGGGAGCAAGAAGGGAGGAAAGCTGGATGTTTAACTCCAGCACTCCTCCTCACATGATAAAAAGCAGGAGTGCAAGTGCAATGTAATATCCCCAGGAGAACCAAAATCTTGCTCTTAGATAGAGTAAGAATAGAAAGGATGCCAGACTCCTTGCCAAGTGACTCAGTTAAGAAGCTGAAACATTTCCCTTTAGAGCTTAGCCTAGGGAATCGGGGGGATTTTTGGACATACTCCTGAAGTTTTTTTTATTGGCAAGCACGGGTCATTCAGTTTACTGAATCCTGACAGCTAAAGAGAGCTGCCCTAGTGGAGGTGCTTATAGTAGTACTGGTGCAGGGGAAAAAGCACAGATCCTAAGAAGCCATCCAGATTCTCAGCCCCTTCCTCCAGCAGAGTAAGGGTCTGGGAAATGGAACTACTGTGGCACACCTCATAGTTCTTGAGCATCTTGATGAAGGCAGAGCACCTTTTTGTAACTATTTTCCTTGATCCACCATAAGAAAGGAGGATGGAACAAGTACAAGCAAAAGTTTGTCAGGGGATCTGAAAGGAACAATGCCCTTGAAATTTCTGCCACTTAGGGAAGAGAAGAGATGGGGAAGTTGTTGCTACCCACTCCTCCAAACTTTAGCTTTAGAAGTTCAGACTGCAATATATAGTACTGAACTGTTATTTTGTTTGCCCTAGCAAAGTGGGGGGAGGGATAGCTCAGTGGTTTGAGCACTGGCCTGCTAAACCCAGGCTTGTGAGTTCAATCCTCAAGGGGGCCATTTAGGGATCTGGGGCAAAATCAATACTTGGTCCTGCTAGTGAAGGCATATTAGAAGAGAGGCATAGGCCTACTGTCTCAGACTAGGAGAAAGACCAGGATCTGGAAACTGTTTGTAATTTATGTATGACCTAGAAAAAGAGTAAAGGGGCTCACGGCCTTTATTAGAAATTGAGGTGTTCCTTTATTTAAAAAAAAAAAAAAAACTGAAAATATACTGAACTAAACAAGTGAATCTGGACAGTGTTTAAAAAAAATGTGAGGTTGAAGTTGTCTAACTCTGTGCAAGACTACTGACAGAATAAGACAGTACCAGGGAGTACAGAAGATACCCATCTGATATCTAAAGTGGATTCAGATTCTTCCACCAATACCTACACACATCGTAGTAGAAGCCCCTACGAGCAAAAATTCTGCTGAGAAGATAGAGATTAAGGTTATGGTGCCAGAAGACAGCAGAAGAGAAATTAAAGCAGAGGGAAGTGAGGTAAGGAATTCACACATTAACTTAACTTCCATTGGCAGAGATCCTGACAGCAATTTACAGCTACTCCCTCCTTAGATCAAGCAGAAATCCAAAGGGAAGGCAGGCAGCAGATATAGCAGCTGACCTTCCTAAAAGCGAATCTCCAATGAAAAACTGGGGGTCAGGTTCGTGCAGAGAGATGCAATTTAAACCTCCATGTGGTAGCTTGGGTGAATCTAACCTGTGAAGTTAGAATCCATACACAGCTTCCCCCCACCCACCCCCCATTTTGGTGGGTGTGAGAGTACAGCGAATAGGTAGAAAAGAAACAAGTTTCCTCTTTACCAAAATCCAAACTGGATTAGTTTATTCACTTCTACAACCTATAGCACATGTATAAATGATAATTTACCAGTAGGTTTTAGTCAAATATTTAGTGCAAAATATTTTCAAATAGAAAACAGTAAAAAGAAAAAAAAAAGTAGGAGATTAAATCTTTTAAATTAATATTTACTATTTAATCTGTTTAAACAATGAAAAGTTGCTGTATTTTTTCCTTAACACTGATGTGCACCTTCATCAAAAACAGTTCGGCATCTGAAAGATTCAAATCTGGGTTTAGCTGGTAAGTGAAAGATCCCTACAGTTTCCCCACTGTTTTTTGTCCCAAAAAGTCTTCATTCATTTTTTGGGCTTAGTAGGGGAAAGTGGCAGTGAAAATTTACTAGCAGATTTAAAAAAACAAACAAAAAAACAAACAAACAAACAAAAAAAAACGCTATATGCATTTTTCTTAGCCAATAGTCCAGGGTTTAATTATAAAAAAAAAAAAAAGGGGGGGGGAAGATTGTATACATCTTATGAAACAGAATATAAAATGGTACTGGCTACAGCTTGTAATCATAGATCTTATGTATAAGTTTTCATTTTTCTTCCAGACATTTTGCTCTGTTTTTCAGAATTATGCCTTCTAGTAACTATGAAATTTTTTTTTAATTCAAGATTTTAAGATGCAGAACCATCCAAGCTAGAAAAGACCATATGACACTTCTCTTACCATTTAGGGAAGCCACACAGGACACTATCAGTTTTATGGTTCACCATTTTGTTGTTGTTGTTGATAACCTCTTATGATGGCCTTGTGTATTTTTACTTTGTATTTTTATACGGATTTAGCCACTATATTGTTCAAGCTAGGCTTGCAATACAACAGACAAGTTAATCATATCATTCAGCTGTTTTCTCACAACCTTAACTTTGCCCTGTAGTGTCACAATGAAGAAACCCCCCACCCCCCAAAAAACTTAGCATCTTTAAAAATCAGTTTAATCTAATATGGGACCACAAACATTAAAATGCCTTTAACATAATCATATGGGCATTACAACATGGAGTCATTACAGGGCAGTGCTAAGATAGTGTGGGTGCATCAACTAAGCATTTCAATACTTTAACATAGTTGGATTTCTTTTAAGTTTAACCTTTACTCTGAATTTCGTGAGTTTAACACATGTGGTTTTGGGATAATTGAAACATCTAATGTATTACTTCAAGTAGGAAAGGAAAACATTCTGAGAGATTACTTATATTATATCTTCTATGAGTGTACATTTCTAGAAAAATGCAGTCGTTTTAAAGTTTCACTGACCATGACACTGAATTATCCTTTGGATTCCTGCAACCTGTTCCAGTGTGTCTATGTTCTGAGTATAGTTGCGAAGTAGTTTTCCTTCTTTGTCCATCAAAGCTATGAACTTATGACAGAGAGATGGTTGGAACTGTCCAGGATATATTTCCTGCAGAATTGAGAATTACATTAGGATGAGTAAATAAATGCTAGAGCAACACTTTCAGTTCCTGATCCAGCATCATATAGAAAGATATACAATAAACCATTTCAAGCATGGAGACTCCTCTTATTTGGAGAGCAAAATATCAGTGCCAGTTAGTTGAGCAGTTATTGTAATTATTCCCTTCCCATGGTCCCATTTCTTTCAAATCCAACCCTTATTGCAATTGCTGCATTTTGACCATTGTTCACCACTCCAAGGTTTCTGCTAAAATCTGGAATACTATTTCTGATACAGACCAAAAGGAGATATGGGGTGGATTTTTTGTTTTTTTGAAAAATTATGAACAAAGGAAAACATGGCTTTTGAAATGTAACATAACCTTAACGATAGCATTTGTGGTAGTAAATGTTATCAGATTGTTTAAGAATTAGAACTCTGACCAAAAGTTTGATAAGGAAACTGGAGTTGAATCTTAGGCTTGGGACAAACAGTAGTTCTGACACATCAGTAATGTGAATGAGAAAAATCAGTGATTCTTGAAAAATTAATACCAGGAAAGCGCCAGCTATCTGCTGGATATTGAGTGGGTTTGTGGAGCCTCCTTGTATAAAAATACAGAATATCAGCATCCTGCTCTCAACTTGTATTCATTCTTTAGTTTTGCCATATGCCTCTAAGTCATTGTAACACTGGAAAGCAGGAAGCTGCCTTAGTTGCAACAGCTTCTCAAGATCTTTCAAATGCTTAATCTATTTAAGTTACTTCAAATTCTAGTCAACCACTATCACTGCTGAATTGGAATGGAGGCTATAATCTTGAAATAGTAAATACAGTGTAAAATTCTTCAAGACCAAGCATTTACAGGTGAAGAAACCAAGAAAGCTATTTTCTATTTATATCATTCCTATGAAAATAGCTATTTATAATGCATGTAACTAAAGTTTGACTCTTAGAATACTGTCAATGAAAGATGGGTTAAGCTCTGTCTCCTAAAATCTCTTATCTTGAAGGACAGGATAGATCATAGCTCAGTGGTTTGAGCATTGACCTGCTAAACCCAGGGTTGTGAGTTCAATTCTTGAGGGGGCCATTTGGGGCAAAAATGTGTCTGGGGATTGGTCCTGCTTTGAGTAGGGGGTTCGACTAGATGACCTCCTGACGTCCCTTCCAACCCTGATATTCTATTCTATGAAAGATCTTTGCAAACATCTAGAAAATAATAAGATGATAAGTAACAGTCAGCGTGGATTTGTCAAGAACAAATCATGGCAAACCAACCTGATAGCTTTCTTTGGCAGGGTAACAAGCATTGTGGATAGGGAGAAGCGGTAGATCTTGACTGTAGTAAAGCTTTTGATACTGTCTCGCATGACCTTCTCATAAACTAGGGAAATGCAACCTAGATGGAGCTACTATAAGGTGGGTGTATAACTGGTTGGAAAACAATTCCCAGAGAGTAGTTATCAGTGGTTCACAGTCATGCTGGAAGGGCATAACAAGTGGGGTCCTGCAGGGATCAGTTCTGGGTCCGGTTCTGTTCAATATCTTTACCAACAACTTCGATAATGGCAAAGAGAGTACACTTAAAGTTTGAGAATGATACCAAGCTGGGAAGGATTGCAAGTGCCTTGGAGGATAGGATTATAATTCAAAATTACCTGGACAAACTAGATAAATGGTCTGAAGTAAATAGGATGAAATTCAATAAGGACAAATGCAAAGTATTCCACTTAGGAAGGAACAATCAGTTGCACACATAAAATAAGGGAAATTACAGCCTAGGAAGAATTACTGCGGAAAGGGATCTGGGGGTCACAGTGGACCACAAGCTAAATATGAGTCAACAGTGTGACGCTGTTGCAAAAAAAGCAAACATAATTCTGAGATGGTTACAACACCTCCTGCTAATACAAGACATGAGAAGTAATTCTGCGCTGATTAGGCCTCAACTGGAGTACTGTGTGCAGTTCTGGGCGCCACATTTCAGGAAAGATGTGAACAAATTGGAGAGAGTCCAGAGAAGAGCAACAAAAATGATTCAAGGTCTAGAAAACATGACCTATAAGGGAAGAGTGAAAAAAAATTGGGTTTGTTTAGTCTGGAAAAGAGAAGACAGAGGGGACATAACAGTTTTCAAGTACATAAAAGGTTGTTACAAGGAGGAAGGAGAAGAATTGTTCTTCTTAACCTCTGGAGGATAGGACAAGAAGAAATGGGCTTAAATTGCAGCATGGGAGATTTAGGTTGGACATTAGGAAAAACTTCTCAATTGTCAGCGTGATTAAGCACTGGAATGAATTGCCTAGGTGGGTTGTGGAATCTCCATCACTGGAGATTTTTAAGAGCAGGTTAGACAAACACCTGCCAGGGATGGTCTAGATAATATTTAGTCCTGCCATGAGAGCAGGGGACTGAACTAGACCTCTCAAGGTCCCTTCCAGTCCTATGATTCTATGCTTTTTAGAATTTCCCTTCCATTCCTAGTGTCTAAAGTCTCATTCTATGATTTTGTACTGTAGTACTGAAAACTATACAAGCGATCTACATATAATATGCCCAGTTTTCACTGATAGTTGATTTTGTCACCATAATTGTTTGTTACATAAGTTTGAGAAGACAAAGAAAAATAACTAAACAGACCCTGCCAGGTAGTTTGTATTCTACATTTAAATTTTATTGAGAGGTTTCTTCATTGTCTATTTTCATTCTCCAAGCTGAATGAAATCTGAATAAAAACAGCAGCACCAATTAAATAGATTTTTAAAGTGTCCAGTTTTAATAGGCTAAAGTGTTATTAGTAACACAGCTATGTAAATGTTTAAAAAGTTACTTTAATCAAACCATGTCCACTGGAACATCCCCATATACACTTAAGAGAAAAGGTAGTCTTTTCCCTCAAAAAACAAGGAAGATATATTTAATGGTAAACACAGACCATAATTTCAGATTTTTACTAAAAGAAATTAGTTTAAACAGAAAACCAGAAGTTCTGTACATACACATCAGTAAACTGTTTGTTTAACTTCTCCTTGTGTCAGTTCTACCTTTGACTGCTGTGTAACCTTCCATACCACCAGAGGCAAATTAGTAAGCAGGGAACGTGATTCATAAAGTTGATACCCATTAGAAAGGACATCTGCATCTAAATTGCAGCAATGGGCACTGATGACCTTAAATTACATCACAGATTACAATCAGGCTATGATAGCTGCTATTAAACATTTATCTAGTGCAGTTAATTTACATCGCTCTGTACAAGCTTAGATGAGATCTATCCCCTCCCCCCAAATATTTATAATCCAAATAAAATAAGATACAGAAACAGTTTAGGGGAAAGGAGCATGTTGAGATTATTAATGAGAAGAAAAGAGGAATAAAAGTTTGAAATTATTTTAAAGGAGCGGTATAAGAGGAGAGAGAAACAGAAGCAGCATGGTATATAAAGGCACAAAGCCAATAGGCAGAAGGAGATAAAGTAGAAAAAGAAGAAAACTAGGGGTGAGCGTATTAGAATGAATATATGAAAAAGTAGGGTGAGAAGAGCACAGTAAGACCAGAAATGTAGGTTGGTGCAAGACTATACAAGGCCCTAATGATAGGAATAAAGAATTTGATACAATATAGAAAGCCCATGGATGGGGGAGGGTGACACAGGCAACAGTGTGGCAGAAGTAGGGAGTGATTATTTTGGTAGCAAAGTATTGAGCTGACTGGAGGTAAAGAGGCAATGAAGAAAAAAGGGAAAAAATTACAGTAATTGTTCTGAGAGATGCACAGACAAGGGTTTTAGCAGTGGGGCATGGGTGAATTTTGTAGATACTGAAGGAATCAGTAAGCTCCTGGGTATCTAAAGGACATGATAGCATTAGTATTTGGATGGGAGACTTCCAGGAAAACCAAGATGCTGCAGGATGTGATGTTTCTTCTCCAACCTCTGAGTTAGTACTAAACAGTGCTTTAATGAGTGGGATGCACCATGTTAATTCTGGTGCTAGGTTTCAAAGGTCCTTACCACTCCCCTAGAGATCCCATGGTATTTCATTTTGTTTTTGATGGAGTAGTTAATGTTCTGAAGAAATTCCAAATTGGATATAATTGCATTTTGCTTCTGCATCTGACTTTTCATATGATCTCAATTAGATATCCTCCCTTTTTCCTAAAACCATTTAGCTTCACTGGCATTGTTCTAAAAAGCTACTGCATCCCATCCAATGGGAGACAGAAGTGATCCCTATATACAATTTGTATTGTTTAATTCTTTAAGACATCTTTATGCTTGCACAAGGCGTTACATAAAAAACCCAAACTAACAAGTCTGTCAGTATATGAAGACTTCCTCCTCTACTGGATTTTATGTCCCCTGGTTAAGTCTGAATGTATGCTATGAACTTGTTAAGTTGCCAGGTGTAATAAGCATGTCAAATAGGTCTCTGAATACATGTTAATTACACTCATGTGCTGCCAAGAGTCCCTCATGTTCCTCGTTTCTCTTCAGAGGACAACACCTACTAAAAGTTTTTGTGCCACTACTTGATAATGAAACACCATGCCACCTAGATAATCGCATCCTTGGCAAACATTTTCCAATACCTTCTCTGAAATAAGAGCCCAAATTAGAAAGGCTGTGTTAGCATCCCTATTACAAAAACAAAGTATCATAAAATTAGCAACATTTTACCTTTTATTTTTTAATTATAAATATTCCTATTGAAGCCAAGATATGGCTTTACCTAGGATGAGATACATAATACTGAGAATAGTGAAATTTGTTAACTCTGTAATACTGGCCTCTTACTTTATCTTAATGAGGGATGGCCTTACTCAGTTTCACTTCATTACTGGTGACTAAGGCCATTCCTCATTAAGATAAATTCAGTAGCTTTAGGATTTGTCCTCGTTCATGAAGAAAAAGCAAAGGCAGAATGATCTTGTGTCTCTGACAGAGGCATATCTTTACTGTCCAAAATAATAAAAGCAGTTGGAACACAGTACCTTTGCAAATTTAAAAAACGGTCTTGGATCCTTTCTGAAGTATTCTATATCAAACATTGCTTGAGGATCTGGAAGGTCTGGAAAATCTACTGCAAGGCGTGCATAGATGCCATCTCTTGATCGAAAGTCAGGTATTCCACAAGAAACAGACACCTGAAATACAGGTTTACAATTTGTAGCCTGAAATCAACTGTATATTTGGATATGATGGCTTGCTAGCATATGCTATATTTGAGAACTCAACTTGTGTGTGCTACCAACTTTTAATATCAAAGAATGAGAACAAAGGCAATTTGAATAACCCATGTCTACTTTATAGACTCCTTTTTGACAGAGCAATGTAAAGTTTCCCCATGAATGTGCAGGAAAAGGGAGGGGGAACATTAATTTAGCTTTGAGGTCACAAAAAGATGTACAGCAATCTACATGTCAGGGACCAACAGTTTAATAGACCACCATTGAAAATATATAGTATTTACAAAAGTTTTAATGCAGTACAAGTACCCAGAGACCTAAAACAAGAACACTGAATTTGGTTTCCTAAAATAAAATTCATTGATTTACCATACTAGTTGTAAACAAGAAGATTCATCCTTTTTAAATGTATTACTATAGTAGCAGATCAGCTTATTAACATTACTTTATTTACACTAGGCAAATAAATGTTAGGTTTTTTAAAAAATTGAGCACCAAATTAAGATATTATGTATGCTATTACTTTAATAAGTATAATCATGATTTCTCTAGCCAAAAATTTTCAATTTGAGGGCTTAATAGCAATTACAGTCTGAATGAAACAAGACAGTACCAGGGCTGCTTCCTTCTCTTATGGGCACACTGGTTTGTCTCAAATTCCTCATCTCTACTTCTTATCGCACTCCATTTTAGGGGTGAAGAGGTAACAATCACATCTGTTCTCTCGAGCCAGTCATGTTACAACAGGAACAAAACAAAACAAAGCAAGCAATATTCCTTGACTTCTGCGCCATGACATGGTTGGTATGCAGAAAGACACAAATGTAAGAACTTTTGACTGTAGCAATATGTACTGTGTTTGATTACTTCTTAGAGTGCAACCAAATGACCAGATACAATGTTCTATCAAAGAAAGCTCAATCCAACTCCCATCTAAGTTAACAGTAGTTTTTCATCCAATGGAAGTTATAGCAGGCCCAAACTAATGCAATAGAAAAATCTCAGTATCTGTTTCAGCAACACAAAGCTGGGGATAGAAAATTAGTATTGTGGAACAGGTAACTAGGGATAAAAAAAAAAATTACATCTGTTGCCTTTAGATGCTAGACAAGTTAGAAAAAAAGATACACAGTTGTCTAAGCTAAGGCATAACAATATCAAGCAAGTTTTATTTCTCCAGTATATAAGATCTGTAAAATTAAATTTAGCTGATCAATTCTAAGTTTAGGCCCTGAGCCTGCGATTTAATGTCCAGGTGGACTGCTGCACCCATTCAGAGCACCACTGACTTCAGTGTGGCTCTGCATGAATGCAGCCTGCAGTAAATTGTTGGATCAGAACCTAAGTAGTTATCCATTTATTTTCACACCAACGTATTTTAGACATACATACCCCAGCTCCAGTCAAGACAATTATTTTTTTGCACTCTTGTAAAAGTTTCACAGCATCCTCAATAGTATTAATATCTTTTCGTTTTTTCCTTTTTGGTGGTTCTGAAAGAATGTTTATAACAATCTGCCACAGAGTCATATCATCCAGTTCAGGAGGAGGGATTGTTTCTGGTAGCAAATCCTTCAGAATTGTCCGTGGGTCTGTGCCTATCATTAGATGTTGTTGAACAAAAGTGTAGGGACCTATTATAGAAAAACAAAGTATATAAAATATGACATAACATTCTGAATCAAGGAAAATTCTTTAGACATTTTAGCTGACTGTTACTACTTCTCTATCTTACTAACCCACTTAAGAGCCTTTTCATCAACAGCCCTTATCTATATGAAACAGACTATTAGACTCAGATGTAGTGGTGCTGTTTGTTCACTAAAGATAGATAAATTCTTAGTGAGTTATCTAGGGCCTTGGCTACACTGGCAATTCACAGCGCTGCACTTGCTGCGCTCAGGGGTGTGAAAAAACACCTCCCCTGAGCGCAGCGAGTGCAGCGCTGTAAAGCGCCAGTGTAATCAGCGCCTGCAGCGCTGCACGCTCCCTCGCAGCACTGCAAGCTATTCCCCTCGGAGAGGTGGAGTACTTGCAGCGCGACTACACTGCCGCGGCAGCACTGTGAATCCGCGAGTGTAGCCAAGGCCTAGAAAATCCTACCAGACAGATTTGCCAGGGCAGGGTTTCTGTTGACATAAGATCCCATCTCTTATTATGCTTGAAGACTGTACAAAATCACATAGTAGAACCCTAATTCCCAAAGTATGTTTTCTTTTAAGAACTCTCATTCTGTGTAATGCTTCCAACATTTTGGACCATGTTTTCAGGAAAGATGTACTAAAATCTTGATTTGGAAGTGCTGGTAGAGAGTATTTGGCAATAAATGTAAATTTGGTGAAGTGCATATTTTTATATAGTGGTGAGATGTTTGAAAGATGCCATATAATATATTTTAGCTGCTTTATAGTAAGAAGGCTAAGGAATTTCTTCTGTTCACCTTTAACCATCCAGACTTGATACAATATACTGCCCACAACTGCAACCTCCAGAAAAGTATAATACAGTAGTGTCAAAATAGCCTAGTGGACTTTTGCAACAGGAAGAGGATAATCAATATTAAAGGTCAGACATTAAAAAACAGTTAAAAGTAAAGAATCTTGGAAATGATACATTATATAAACTTCTACCTATACGTGGTCTTGGAGTCCAGTCACTAGAGCTTGCACGTGAGGCTCTGTCATCTTCATCACTATCACAGGAATGGAAACCATTGGCTATGATTTCATCACTAAAAAGGATGTCATCTGCAAGATAGTACAACAACAACGTATTATTCTTAAGTCACAAGACTCCATTTTAAGCAGAAATATCATTATAAAAGGTTGAAATGTTACTATAGCTTTAGCAATGACCTGCAAAAGGATTTTTTTTTTTTAATCCGGCCTTTTACAGAGAAGTTGAGAGGTTTTGTTACTGGGGGGGGGGGGGGGGGGGGGGTGAAGATGCAAGGGCTAAGTTCCCACTTGCCTTTTTTTTTAAAGCTTTGAAATATCAAGTTTGGTCTTCCCTAGTTTTACTGAATATTTCAGAGGATTTATTTTGTTACATTTCAGATCTCCATGGGGTGGTGATGGGTGGCGAATCTAATGCAGTTTCCTTTTTATAAAATGTTAATCACTGGTTAATTGGTGTTAATTCTCAACCCTCAAAAACAAAAAACAACAACCCACCACACACCAAAAACAAAGATGTGGAGTTTTAGAACACTCATACTAAAAATCCCTTCCTCTCTCAACTCCCACTTCAACTGCTCAACTTTTGTTTTCTTGAATCCGAAGAGGTCAACATTGCATTAGTTCACCATTAGTTCCTTATCTTGACTAGGATTTAAAAGTATGTCAGAATGCTTTAGCAAACATGTAAGAACAGTTCAGGGAAGACAAGGCATGCTGACTTTAATAGTGCTAACTGAGTTAAAACCTAAGGGGGTGACTAGGCTTTTCAAATACGTTAGAACCTCAGATCTCCAACAAAACCAGGGGAGACCACATCTAACATGTCTGATTATTAAGTTGAAGAACAAGGGAAGATAAGTGGAATTCACTCCTCACTACTCATTCCTTAAAAGAAGGAAAACCAAAAACTTTTCAGTTTCTTTATCCTATTCTGGATAAGGCCATATTCTTCCAAGCTAGGTAAATCCTCATTTTCTTATGTAAAAAAAAAATCAAGCAGAAAACACAGCAGGTACCCTTTATACAGAAAAAAGTAGTAAAAACCCTAACCCCATCCCCCTTTGCAGATATTTAAAGCTCTATTGTGAATAGGAACAAGGGGTGGGAGAAGAAACAAAATTTCAAATTTTAACTTGTAAAAGTTTTAAAAGGTATGAGTGCTATTTTGGTAATCTCTCCACTCACAATGTCTTTTCTTAGGTGTTCGTACAGTTTTCACTCTCACCTCAAATCTTTATGGGATTTGTACTCTGATTTATGCATAAAGAAACAGAAGAATTGATAGTTGGTATACATTAGCGTACACAAGATGTAGGATTTGGTACACGCTCCTTAATGTCCACCAAGGGGCTGATTAATTTCAATAAGATGTTTCACATGAATAAAGTTAAGGAAGTGTTTGAAGGATCAGGGCCTACATTGTTAACAGTTTGGACCCTCTGAAGATCCTCAACAATACTTCTCATCATAGGCAGTTTAAACAACTGTTTAACTATGCCACCCCTTGCATAGTCAGGGGCTTACTCAAGCAGTGCAGTTTCCAGAAAAGTAAGTATGCCTATTGAATCATGGATTCTCATCCATAGCTCTCAGCACTGGGGCTAATTACAGAAGGAGCTGGCATGACACATGCTTAATGAAGAATCTCTCATATGAAATTTATTTTCAAGAAACAAAAGTTATTTAAAGTAAACCAAATACAAAAAGGAAAGAAAATAAAAATAGTGACAAGAAAACTGAATTTTTAAAACTTTCACTTTTAATAACTAAAGATGGTGTTACTAAGAAATTTGTTTACAACAAGACTTGAATCAATCTCCTTTTAGAAGTTCAGGAAATAAAACTGATAAAATTATGATGTGAAATTAAGAGGGTAAATGGAAATTGGTAAATTGGGAATAATGGATGCATACTATACACAATACATGCAAAATTGTCTAGCAATAAGTATAATAGAAATTAATATAGCATTACTGTAGTAATGTAGAGAATTACTAGTAAGTTTGATATATATCGTTTAACAGGTCCACAAGCAATGTAGTAATTTGTATGTCTATTGAGCTTTGTTTATTGTACAGAACATAAAAATTATAGAAGTTGAAAAAAGATAATCTTTCACAATCCCCACACATGGTAAGTGTCCCTTTCACACAGGAGTACAAATCAGAGGCCAAATACACCACTTTTCTACACCTGCAAGCCTAAGAGCAAGGATGGAGCAGACAACGTTTGTCTAATAATACACATGCTCAGCACACACTTAATCATATAAAAAGCATGTGCAAAACATCCATGCAAGTACAAGAGCAGCAGCATCTGGGGATCAGTGTGTAACAATGAGCACACTCAAAGGGCATTTGGCAAGCATATATGTGCAAAGAGGTGAAACTGGGCAAGAGCCCATTGAGCATGACTGCAAAAAGATGTAGAACGGTTAGTCAACAAGAGCTTAGCACCACGGTCCTTAATAAGGTACCGCTGTTTGGTAGCAATTACACAACTGAATAAGCGATGCAAGAGGATAGGATGCTAAGCGCGGCTGGTTCCTCTCTGTACCTCCAAACACGGAGCGAGTGCATGACACTTCAGCTTTCCGCCACCCAACACCTGTGTGTAGCAGGTGATTCAGGGGCGGGTTGGGGAATTCATTTGCTTCTCACCAAGCCCAGACTGTGTTACACTTGGAGGCTAGGAGAGGATGGAGATTAATTGCGCCTCTCCAGGCCGGAGACGAGAGCGAATTGTGCTCCCCAGTGCGGAGTGGGTGTGGCAGATGGGTCTGGCAGGTTGCTCGTCCCCCCAGGTGTGTGTTCGGTGGGGGGCGAATATCGGTGACTAGTGTCACACAAAAGGGAGGAGGCTCGTAGCATTGCCACCCCCCGAGCTGTCAGTGCTGGGGTAGGCCTCCCTGTGCTGCGATCGGCCTCCGGCCGTGCGCAGCGGTTGGGGCCCGGGGTATCACTGCCCCAGGCGGCGGAAGGGGGCCGATCCTCACCAGGATGCGGGGCAGCCGCCTCGGCCACCCCGTGTGAACACTGCGACCGTCTGTAGCCAATGGCCGTCTCCACCGCGTCTCCACTGGGCGCCGTCTCCGCCCCCTCCCCCTGTTGCTGCTGCTGCGGAGGCGGCTCCTCGCGGGGCAGGCCCCGCAGCCCGGCCCCGTTCTCCCCGCCGCTCCAGCCCGCCGCTCCCTCCCCCTGCAGCCTCACCACCGCCGCCGCCCTAGTCGCGGAGCCTGTGGTGGGCGCCGTCCCAACCCTTCGTTCTGGGCCTAGGCCCTTCCCCGAGCCCCGCCCGTCGCTGTCTTCCGAGTCCAGGCGCTGGCGCTTAGGAAGGGGCTCGGCACCCTCGGCCGCAGCGCAGCGGCCGCTACGCGCTTGGAGGAGCAGAGTCTCCTCGTCCGCCATCTTGGAGCAGCAACCGCCGCCTCCCCCAGTACGGCGCAACAGCGCCTCAGTTACACAGCCCCTTTTCCCGACCCCCCTCCCTCCAGGGAGAGATTTAAACCCTGCACGTGACCGCGCCACCGCCCACGCGGACACTCTCCCCGCGGAGGCCGCAGCAACAACAAACCGGGTCACGTGAGGGGAAGGGATGGGGGGGGGAATGCCGCCGTCACGTGACCCTGTACTCGGGCCTAGCGCACCTAGTCGATGTCCTCCCAGGTTCTCCCCTTCACGTGACCTATCTCCCAGCCAGCCACAAGCTTCGCCCGTTGCCCGTGCAAGGTGTTATGTAAGGGGAGCGCACGCAGGCGGGGGTGAGGCGGGGTTATTGGAGGGATGAGCCGCTGAGGCGCTGTGGTTTCGTGAAGGCTGCGGGGCTTGGGGAAGGAGGGAGTGCAGTAAAGGGCATGGATGGGGCAATAGCTGCATGTATGGGTAGAAGTTACATGGAAAGAGGAAAGGGTCACACGTATGGTAGGTAAGAGGGGCTGGGTTGTGTGACTTGGAAGGACAGGGAGCAATCCAAAGAGCTCAGCTCAGGTGAAGGCTGTACCAGTTTAACTAATGGTGTGTGTTAAAACTAATTTAGTTAAATCAATGGAAGTTTATATTTTAGATGCTTAGTTCAACTGAGTATTTCTGTTTAACTTATTCTGTGTTTTGGAAGATTTAAACTAAACCCCAAATAAGCTACTATTAAATAGAAAGTAGTATGTATGCATGTGTAAACTTGCACAGATTTAACTAAATCAGTTTAAAAGCACACCTTTAATTAAACCGGTACCAGTTTGTGTAGACAAGCCTAAAATCACTGGGTTTCCTGTTTTTTTAATCCCATCAAAGTAGGAGAAAAAGGAAATCACTCATGTCTGAGCAGCCAGGTTGGAGATGGGAAGAGAGAAATGGAGATATTAAACATTATTGCTAACCACAAGTATTCAAAAATCCTTAGTGGCTTAAAAATGAGACTTTAAAAAAGCCCAAATGTATTCATTTTTAATTTGCCTTGTGGCTTTTGAGCCTCATGTTTTCAAGCTTTTTAAAATGATTTTTAAGTACATCAGAAGCAGGAAGCCTGCTAAACAACCAGTGGGGGCCCCTGGACGATCGAAATACAAAAGGAGCACTTAAAGACAATAAAGTCATTGCAGAGAAACTAAATGAATTCTTTGCTTCAGTCTTCACGGCTTAGGATGTTAGGGAGATTCCGAAACCTGAGCTGGCTTTTGTAGGTGACAAATCTGAGGAATTGTCACAGACTGAAGTGTCATAAGAGGAGGTTTTGGGATTAATTGATAAACTTAACAGTAACAAGTCTCCGGGACCAGATGGCATTCACCCAAGAGTTCTGAAAGAACTCAAATGTGAAATTGCGGAACTACTAACTATGGTTTGTAACCTGTCCTTTAAATCGTCTTCTGTACCCAATGACTGGAAGATAGCTAATGTAACGCCAATATTTAAAAAGGGCTCTAGAGGTGATCCCGGCAATTACAGACCGATAAGTCTAACGTCAGTACCCAGCAAATTAGTTGAAACAATCGTAAAGAATAAAATTGTCAGACACATAGAAGAACATAAATTGTTGGGCAAAAGTCAACATGGTTTCTGTAAAGGGAAATCGTGTCTTATTAATCTATTAGAGTTCTTTGAAGGGGTCAACAAACATGTGGACAAGGGGGATCCAGTGGACATAGTGTACTTAGATTTCCAGAAAGCCTTTGACAAGGTCTCTCACCAAAGGCTCTTACGTAAATTAAGTTGTCATGGGATAAGAGGGAAGGTCCTTTCATGGATTGAGAACTGGTTAAAAGGCAGGGAACAAAGGGTAGGAATAAATGGTAAATTCTCAGAATGGAGAGGGGTAACAAGTGGTGTCCCCAAAGGGTCAGTCCTAGGACCAATCCTATTCAACTTATTCATAAATGATCTGGAGAAAGAGGTAAAAAGTGAGGTGGCAAAGTTTGCAGACGATACTGAACTGCTCAAGATAGTTAAGGCTAAAGCAGACTGTGAAGAACTTCAAAAAAATCTCACAAAACTAAGTGATTGGGCAACAAAATGGCAAATGAAATTTAATGTGGATAAATGTAAAGTACATACAATATGATGGGGGCTAATTTAGCTACAACTAATCAGGGAAAAAGATCTTGGAGTCATCGTAGATAGTTCTCTGAAGAAGTCCACGCAGTGTGAAGCGGCAGTCAAAAAAGCAAACAGGATGTTAGGAATCATTAAAAAGGGGATAGAGAATAAGATGGAGAATATCTTATTGCCCTTATATAAAACCATGGTATGCCCACATCTTGAGTACTGCGTACAGATGTGGTCTCCTCATCTCAAAAAAGATATACTGGCACTAGAAAAGGTTCAGAGAAGGGCAACTAAAATGATTAGGGGTTTGGAACGGGTCCCGTATGAGGAGAAATTAAAGAGGCTAGGACTTTTCAGCTTGGAAAAGAGGAGACTAAGGGGGGATATAATAGATGTATATAAAATCATGAGTGATGTGGAGAAAGTGAATAAGGAAAAGTTATTTACTTGTTCCCATAATATAAGAACTAGGGGCCACCAAATTAAATTAATGGGCAGCAGGTTTAAAACAAATAAAAGGAAGTTCTTCTTCACACAGCGCACAGTCAACTTGTGGAACTCCTTGCCTGAGGAGGTTGTGAAGGTTAGGACTATAACAGGGTTTAAAAGAGAACTAGATAAATTCATGGAGATTAAGTCCATTAGTGGCTATTAGCCAGGATGGGTAAGGAATGGTGTCCCTAGACCCTGTTTGTCAGAGGGTGGAGATGGATGGCAGGAGAGAGATCACTTGATCATTACCTGTTAGGTTCACTCCCTCTGGGGCACCTGGCATTGGCCACTGTCAGTAGACAGGATACTGGGCTGGATGGACCTTTGGTCTGACCCAGTTCGGCCATTCTTATGTTCTTAAGCTTTTCTGTGCATCTGAAGAAGTGCGGTTTTTTACCCACGAAAGCTTATGCCCAAATAAATCTGTTAGTCTTTAAGGTGCCACGGGACTCCTTTTTCTTTAGGGGTAGAAATTCACTTAAATATTTTTTTATATGAAAGCTAAGATTCTCACAATATACCTGCAGGAGATGACCAAGTATTATGAGACCTGTTATCAAATCATGAGCTGGCAACACTATTAAATGTTACACTGCTCATAAGGCATTGGAATGGCCATATCCAAATAGTAACAAACATTGCTATTAGTCTACTTTGGGTATGTCTACATTACGTGGCGGAGCTTAGCTATAATGCCCATAATATAGACACTTCCTATGTTGATGGAAAGAGGTTTTCCATTGATGTAGGTAATCCACCTTCCTGAGCAGCAGTAGCTAGGTTGATAGAATAATTCTTCTGTCGGTCATGCCACCACTGCGGGGGTTAGGTCAGCTGTACTAATGTGCTATGGGGTGTGAGCACCATACGTAGGTCGATCTAATTTTAAGTGTAGACACGGCTTTAGTCTTCATGCTTTTCCCTTTAACTTTTCTTTTCTGATACTCATTCACAAACATATCTAGTCACCTTACATGATGTTACCAAATGCCTCTTTTCCCTTCACTATATATAATTCTAGATGTGGCCAATAAATGATAACTAGCCTAATCTATTCTATTCCTTGTCTATTTGCTGAAGAGTTTGCTTTGTTCACCGACAGGAGGATGTTAATTGAGGTTGAAGAAACAGAGACTGCATTCTTTCTTAGTGTGTCAGCTATTTGCTTTTCTGGTTTTATAGTATCTTAAAGTTTTATGAATTTTTTTATATGCACGTATTGTGGGCTGCATTTTCATAGTTCATATAAACTAATTTTATTTTAGTTTAGTCAGTTTGTCCAATATATCAGATAATGAGGCCATTTTACTTTAGAAAGGAGTGTGTCTCAATTGGACCTGCATACGAGATTCTACACTGCAATTGTGTGGATTTAAAAAAAAAGCTTTTGTAGAACACCTTGGTTCTTTGTCCTATGTGTAGTGTAGAATCGTCCATTGCAATGGGGAAATATTTCCTGACACTTACCAATGTTTGTGGAGACGTACATTCAATTATTTTAATAAGGGTTTGATAGACTTTGCTAACGAACATGGACAAATGTTTCCGATTTCTTTCAGTATCTACTTTTAGCATAAGAACCTAAGCTTCGTGTTTAGTGTTTGATATATTTATAACTTCTCCCATAAAATAGGCCAGTTAGTGCCTCATCCAAAGCGCATTGAAGTCAATGGGAGTTTTTCCACTAACTCAAGTGTGATTAGGATCAAGCCTAGTGCCTAATATAATCCTTTTAGTAGTTTAGATTTTATGCCCTTCTCTGTATAAAGGGTCCTAAATACACACCTTGAACTGAGTGTGTAGTGTCACATCTGGAGACCACTGCCTGTCATGCTGATCGAAGTTTTCTTATGTCCCCCGGCGGTCTTTCTATATCCGTCTCTTGTTCTATACGTAGATTATATGGTCTTTGGGGGAGGAACAGTACTTTTGTTCTGTGTTTGTTACTCCTGGGGGAATTCTGCATGTGACATAATTAATGTGCTGCACATTTTTAATTTTTGTGCAGAAAAAAGCTGCTGCTGAAAAGTTATTCAGTTCCGCCTTTTGCCCACCAGAGTGCGCTGTGGCGCTAGAACACAGCAGCACCGCCCAGCAGAAAATACCTTCTGCAGTTCCACCTTTTGCCCACCAGAGAGCACTGTGGTGATAGAACACAGCAGCTGCTCCCAGCCAGCTAGGGAAGAGAAAGAGCTTGCCTTCTTCACAGTGCTTGTCGGGCCAGGTCAGGAGACAGGGGTTATGGGGCTGCTGGGGGGGGGGTCAAAAGGGGCTCATAAGGGCTAGTTGGGGAGGACAGACTGGGGCAGGGGCTGAATGGGACTGGAGGTGCAAGGCCACAGTGGGGAGGGAGGTGCAGGGCCACATAGGGACGGGGGGTGGCTGAGTGG